TTTAGGGTGGAGTTTCAGGTTAGGCTTAACAGGTGGGTTTAGAGATAGCACTGTGGTCATTGCTGAGGGTTTAGGTTTAGGGTTTTGTATAGGGTTAGGGTTAGGGGTTTAGTTTAAGGTTAGAAGGTTAATGTTAGGTTTAGTGTTAAATGGTTGGCGTAGTATTAGAGTTGGAGGGGTAGGGTGTTAGATAGTCAGTGTTAGAGAGTTAGGGTAAGAGTGTTAGGGTAAGGTTTAGGGTGCAGTTAAGGTTATGGTTAAGGTTTGAAAGGTTTAAGGTTAGGGTTACGATTATAAAGTTGGGTTAAGATTAGGTTTATTTTTTATTAAATTTATTGGGGTTACATTGGTTAATAACATGTTTCAGGTGTACAAGTGTATAATCCATCATCTGTATTTTGATTGTGTGCTCACCATTCTTCATCACCATGTATTTGACCCCCCTTTATGACCCCCTTTAACCTCTTCACCCTCCCCCGCCACCCTCCTTCCCCTCTGGTAACCACCATCTTGTTGTCTGAGTTTGTTTTGTTTGTTCGTTTAATGCTCTGTTTTCTATCCCACATTTTCCATGTGATTTTGAATCCTCCTAATTGGCTAGTGGAGTGCAGGTTTCGTCACTAGTTTTACTAGTGGGGAAATTTAGGCTCAGAGAGAGGAAGTGTCATATAGCGAGGTCACACACCTGTGCTTAGGTGTCATTTGGTTGTGACGATCAGTGAGCCCAGTCAAGCTCAAAGATTTCTTCTAAGGCCTTGAGTGGAGAAAGTGTAGCGTCACGGGAGAGGAAACCGGGAGGCCATCGGGAACCAGAGGAGGTGTGTTCTCCAGCCTCCCTGGATGCAGCCTCACTGTCCCCCTCGTCCTGTCAGCTGGCTCGCACTCTGCTTTCCCAGGCCCTGCACCCCCTCCCCAGCCCCAGCTTTACATGGCTTTCGATATCCAGCACCCACAGCAGGTCTGCCACAGACCCAGGCCAGTCTCCTCTCATTTCCAAGAGAAACAAATTTGAAACAGGAATGGCTTGGTGCAGCCTCTAGCTTGGTTCCCTGGGTCTGTTTGCAGTCCGTTGTGGCTGGGAGGGGCAGGGTACACACACAGCTGCAGGAAGCGGGGGAGCACAGGGCGAGGGGCTGGAATCCTGCTCCACTCGTTGGTCTAAAGCAGGTCCCAGTGGGAAGGGGAGAATTTGGGAGGTGGAAGGGTTATGCAACTGATCATCACAAGACTGGAGGGAAGCGGAGATGGAATGCTCCCCACAGAGGCCGGCACTGAATGGAGTGGGAGGAAGCTTGGACTTGGAGGTGGGGGCTTGAGGTCTTAGTCCAGGCCCAGGACCTTCAGCTTGGCTTACCCTGGGGGAGGCTGGGGAATCGCGGCCACCTCCCATCAGCGCTGGCATCTTTCCTGTAGCCCAGTTGAAGAGGCTCACATCGCAGCTCATGCGCGGGCCCAAAGCTGGGTGGGGCCCAACCAGGGCAACTCTTGACTGTTGACCTCCTCACAGGTTCCACTACGCTGCTCGGATCTGGGATGGCGTGAAAAAGTCCTCTGCCCTGGCAGAGTACAGCCGCCTGCTGGCCTGAGGCCGAGGAGTGTCACGCAGGGAACACCCTTCTGGGTCCCCAGTGGATGGTGATGGAGCATATACGTCCTCCCTCACAGCAGGACGGAGAATGGCAGCAGGCCTGATGGACGAGGGACCGCGACTTCCTCGCCTGGAGACATGAGGTGTTCAGGGCCAGGCCCCCACCCTCAGTGGAGCGTTGTTCAGGGGGTGACTTTGAGATCCCACCCCCAACTTGACGGGGCAGCCCATCCTCAGTCCCCCACAGGGCTAGGTGGTGGCAGGAGTCTGAAGGGTCACCAGGAAGCGCAGGGACAGGAGCAAGGCGTCCCTCTTCCCTGACTCCCGGCCCTTGCCGGTAAGGTGAGGCCCGGTCTGGGGAGCTCTTTATTGGGCCAGATCTGGTGGTTCAAATAAAAGAAATTGTGCAAGCCCGCTCTGATGCTCGTCTTCTCTCCCCGGCATGCTCTCCTGGAAGCGGGGCAAATTGGGGTCCCAGCCCCCACGGGCAGTTACCCTTGACCACCAATTGGGTCCTGAATGAACTGCCCATGGGGACCCATTCAGTATCGGTCACAGAGTTGTTGGGAGCAGATGAAAACCAGTCCGTGCTGAGGAGGAAGCCTCTAGAAAGGGGTGTCCTATTCCTGTGGTGACGTCAGCCCTCCCTCCCCACCATCTGTTATGGAAAATACAGTGCCCTTCGGCTAAATGCAGTGAGTGACTCCCCTTGTGTGGTCTGCTTTCACTTCAAGACAGTGCCTGCCTGTGGTGAAATGCCTAACTGCAATAGTGCCCAGTTTAATACGTGGTTAAAACTAGACTGTCCCGAAATACAGTTGGTTAAATGTACTTCCCCTAGGCTGAAACAGGTTCTACCCTTGTTCAAATACTCGTACCTCACCCTTAACGCATGATGCCTACTGTTGGTTAAATGGTGGCTTCCTTTCCCTATAAACCTCATCTACTCTGGCTTAAAAAAGGGTCCTTACTTTTCATGTAAATGCAGAACCTACCCTCAGTTAAATAGGCCATACAGTTCAATTAGTGCCCTCTCTCATCTCAGTTAAATATGGCACAGAACCTTAGCGTTTGGGATCCCAAAGTATGGCTCCAAGTTGGTCTGGCCACCCCACCCATCCCAAATTAGTCCTGACCATCAAATGGTGCCACTCCACCCTTCAGTAAAGCAGTGGTTCCAGTCCATCCAGCTGAGTCGCATCTGTCTACCAACCCCCATGCCACTTGTTTGTCTCCCTGGCCTTCCCTGACCTCGGGTGGACCTATAGAGTCCTGATGTCCATGTCATGGGAATCCAGGGGCTGTCAAGAAAAAAGCACAACTGAAGGGCTGGGGACGCTGAGGACAGCACTCCGGCCAGCTGGTCTGGCCAGAAGTGGGGAGTCGGCAGATCTACGGAGAAGGCCTAACGCCTGGGAGGTGCGAGGCCCAGGGCAGGCTCTGGCCCTGCCGCTCGCTGACTGAGACCTTAGGAACTTCCCTTAGTGATTCTCAGGGCCCTTCAGGGCTGTGACGGTCACATTCCTCTTACTTCTGTATGCTTCTGAATGCGTTGCCCCCCTGCCCTAAACTGCACAGACACCCTAACTGTCCTCTCCAGCTAGACAGCTGAGCTCTTTCCTGCCCTGTCAAACTTACCTGTCCCATGTCCCAGGCCCTCCCCCTGCTTCCCAGGGGGGTGGTCGCCAGAGTAGGGAAGGTGGGGGCATGGCCGGAGGGCCTAAGTCCCAGGGCACAAAAACACGAGACAGCGCTCAGGCTCAGTCCAGGAGTCAGACCTTGAGTTTCTTTTCATCCCCTACACCCAGCCTGGAGACCAGTGGAGCCTGTGTCCTTCCAGTCCTTTGCCGCCATCTCCAGCTGGCCTAGGCCCGGCTGGGATTATTGATTGGGCCCCTTTGGGAGCTCGTAGTCAGAGTTGTCAAGGCCGGCCTGGGTCAGCACGCTCCGGGCATCCCTGACGGCCACGTCCAGGAACGAGCGGAGCACTTGGTAGACAGCGGCGAAGGAGATGCCGCAGGTGGCCAGGGCGCCCAGGACAGGCACGTTGAGGAGCTCCTGGGTGAAAGCAGAGGCGTCCCTGGAGGCCCGGCCCAGCAGGTCCACCACCAGCGCCTTGCTGACCTTGGTCTTCGGGCCCTGCACAGCCTCCAGGAGTTTGTGCAGGGGCTGGCCCGTCCACTCAGCCAGCTTGACGAGGGAGTCCTCATCCAGGCCTAAGTTGCCGCGGTAGCCTTCCATGGAGCGGATGAGCCTGTAGAGGTCACACGCCACGTCCTGCACTCCTGGCACAGGACTGGGGTTGACGCCACAGGCCACCGTGGCCACCAGCCAGATGTGCTGCCGCAGCAAGGCCGCCTTCTTGTCTAGGATGGGCCTCGAGATGCTGGGCAGGGCCGCCAGAAGCGCGTGCTGCTTGTGGCTCTCGACTTCCTTCACCATCGACTCCTCCAGCAGGCAGAAGTCATACTTGCCCAACTCAAACATGGAGAGCAGGTAGACCTTGGGGTCCTTCAGGCCCTCCGCTGCAGGAGACAAGAGCCCTGTTCAAATGGTCTCCACACTGGAGCAGCCATGGTGTCCTGACAACTGCCTGGGCTCAAACACCCTAAGTCTGCACAGCACGTGGCTTAAGAGTGTCGGCCCTGGAGCCAGGCTGCCCAAGTTCTGGTACAAGCCTTCCTACCGACCACCTGTGTGGCCTTGGGCAGGTTACCAAACCTCTCTGGCCTGTAAAGTAAGGTGCTTATTATACCTACTACCTCCTAGGGATGTGGTGGCTATGAACTGGGTTCATGAAAATGGTGCCTGGCCTATGGTGAGCCCTCTAAGTGTTAGGTGCCATCAGTGACAGGTGCCAGCATCTGCATGGGCACATAGCCTTTGCCCTGCTCTAACTTGGTAAATACACAAGCCAACACAATGCAAGTGTCGGCTTCTGTCACCTGTGACCGAGAAGTGCCAACTCTCGGCAAATGGCATCTTGTAGTGTAAGACCTGGCTTGTGGCTTTTCTTTTTGCAAGTGCCTGCCTTAAGCTTTGACTGCGAGGCACCCTTTTCAAAGCAGCATCTGCTTCAAGGAAGGCTGTCTCAAGTAAACACAGGACTAGGTAGCGAGCCAGCTGCCTCCCCCCCACTGAGGCTCCTTTGTTTTGGAGAACTTGGTTGATTTCCGTAGCTGACCTTTTGGCCACTTGTTTTGTTTCCCTGTGCTTTTAAGTTCCTGCTCTGATGTTTTAAATTCACCAGTCAGGAGAGTGAGCCAGAGGAACCCTAGGCACCCACCCTTGATCTCAATAAAAGCAGCACCCCAGGCCTGTGCTGTCTCTTGCCCAGGTGTGCTGCATAATTTCCAGGTTCTGTGAGTAATAGATCTGTATCTTTTCAGTCTCCTGATGGTTATTGCTGAGGGCCATCATAAGAACCAGGAGGGCTGGTCCAGCCACAACACTGATTATTAATGGGCTGAGAGCAGCACACAATACAGCTGTAAGACTTTCACTGTGAGGCCTCCTTCAGTCCCACAGTGTGACCTTAAGTGACCCCTATTCCCACGCTGGACCTCAGCTGGAAGATGAAGGGGAAACAGCGGGCATTCTCCAGGAGTCCACCCACCCCAGATCCTGGAGCCTGCACCTCACCCTCCAGCCGCTGCCGACAGTCGTCCCGGATCTGGCTGAGCACCCTCTCCTCAGAGAAGGCTCTGGGGCGGCGGCTGCGCGAGGCAGCCATGTCCACGTCCACCTTGGAGCGGATGAAGTAGAAGCACTTGCCCTGCCGGAGGATCCCGCGGGCCAGCTGGGCATGGTTGGCGGTGAAGCTCTCTGAGCTGATGATGATGAGGAAGTCGAGACGGTCCAGCAGCACCCGCTGGAGGTATTTGTCAGCCTGGAAGGTGGATGTGCCTATGCCCGGCAGGTCCCAGATGACGACATTGGGGTACTTGGGGTGTGGGTATGGCGTGGGGTCCACGGTCATTTCCACCACGCCCGTGCAGGCCGAGTTGGGGTCCTCGTCTCCGAGCCCCCGGATGGCATTGACAAAGGTCGACTTGCCCGAGCCTGTCCCCCCGGTAATGCCGATGTCCAGCCTGACATTTTCCAGCGAATGAAGTGTGGGCTGCAACATGGCAGCCACTGCTGGCAGGTTCCCCGCCTCACAGGCCGCCTTCAGGCTGAGGCCTGACTGGGAGATTTTGCTTGCCATGGGCAGCCTGACCCCCGCTTCTCCGTCTTTCGGACTTGACCTTTTGCAAGACAGGTAAGGGAATATTTTTACTGAGTTTCCCTCTCATCTCTATGGCCCTAGGCATTTGAGGCATCACCAATAATAGGAGAGGGTGACAATATGCCAGGCCCAGTGCTAAATGCTTTTTTTTAGTTAACATTTATTCATCACTGCCAGGTTCTCCTCCTGGAGTATCTCGTAAAATCCTCAACAGCCAGAGAAGGAGATCGATCCCCTTCCTCTCCACATTTGGCAGTGAGAGAATAAATCACGGGAGGCCTGAGGCCTCCAGGTCGTGCATGGGGGTTGGGAATGGGGCTGAGGTCTTCTGGTCCTAGAATTCCAGTTCTTAAATAACTTTTGGAGGGCATTTACCATGTGTCAGGCACTGTGATCATCAACATGGGGCATTGATTAAGAGCTGGAACCCTCGTCACTGCCGATGGTAGTTACTTTAACGTTCACTCTGAGCCAGCCATGGTTCTAACCACAGGCATAATTTCATTAAGTCCTCTTTTTACAGAGTGGGAAACTGAGGCTCAGGGAGGTAAAAGTCACTACTTGCCAGATGTCTTACAGCCCACACCACAGCCAGTACACGGACCAGAGCCAGCTCCCTCTGATCCCTTTGCCATACAACCCCCACCCCCACCCCTGTCCTTGCACAATTCAGCACCCACTATGTGCCAGGACCTCTTTGGATGCTACAGTTCCAACGCCAGGAAAAGAGACCCAAAGGGTGTGATGCATTTGTGGAAACTTGCCCACCTTCACTGCCTGGCTTCTGAGTACCCGCGTCTGCTGAGGAACCACAGGGCCCACCCAGGCAAGCCCCATCCTGCCTCTGAGCCTCGGAGTCCTCACTGGTATGATGCGCGGGGAGCTGCCAGCGCTGACATCTGGGATTGCATGACTGTGTCTAGTCCCGGCCATGCCAGGGACATGCCGTGTGACACTGGGCAAGTCATGTCCCTTCTGCAGCTTTTATTTCCCCCATCTGTGAGGGATGGGGGGGGGGTGTCAGCTTCCTCACCTGTGAAATGGAGAACTGACTCCTCAGAGCCCTCCCAGCTCTGCTGTTTTAGGAAGACCCAGGGTCTTACTGTTGATGAGGTTCAGGCAGGGGCCAGCTTGGGAGGGGTTTGGAATATCAGGCTGAGATTGATCTTTTATCTGTGGAAGAGGGTTGAACAGGGAAGGGAGAGGTCCGCTGTGGACATGAGAACGAGCCCTCTGTGGCCTTACAGGGAATGAGACAAGGTGAGGCAAGGGGCTGCGGACAGGAACTGGATGGAGAAGGCGAGGCCTGAGCTGGAACAGCGGATAAGGTCAAGATGGGGGACAGGAATCTCCGGAGAGATGAAGGTAGAAGGGACAGGACATGGCAAACAATCAAAGACAAAATGAACCCTTTCTGCCTCTTAGGCCCAGTGTGGTGAGAGCACGAGATTTTCACATCCAACCTTCCCATCCCAGCCACTCAGGGCAAGTCCTGTGTTTAGGATGATGCCTCGGGGACCACACACATAGGGATGTGGGCTGTGGTTTGAGAATGGATTTGGAACGGACCATCTGTTTTGTGCATCTGGGGGTCGGAGATTTCCCTGCCACGATCCCCAGCACACTTTTTGGTGCAGAAAGGCCTGTGTGAACCCCAAATGGTCCTGGCAGAGCCAGTGAATGGGGAGGCCTCCTGGAAGAGAGTAATCCTTTTGCAAAGCAGAGAGTTCTTCAGCCAATAGATTTAGCGCCCCCTTTAGTCACAGGTAAATATCTGAGTCTGGAACTGTTTCTTAGGGTCAGGGGTAATTTGAGGCCCCCCGGATGGGGCAAGGACCATCAACAGATCCTGGAAAAATGCATGTGAGTATTTGTGAGCACCTGGGGGGCGAGGCACCTGCAACACCATCCCCCGGTTTGCCAGCGGCCTCATACACCCACCTCCGAAGCCTCTGTGCCTTCCTGGGAACTCACCCTTCTTCTCTACACCTAAATCTGACCCTTCTCTGACCCTTGTCCAAGTCCACAAAAGCCCTTGGGGCAACACATCATGTACAATGCCTCCAATCTAGTAGTTCTTGAATTTTTTTAAACATGCGTGACCTTTGACTCAGCCAAGGAGCTTGGTTTCCCTGAGCCACCTGGGCCAGACACAGATACCCTCACCTAGTGCGTCACATGTTTCCTCTGTCATTTGCAGCCTCATGCAGCTTTCAGATCCCAACAGGGTCACCCTCTCTCTCGGACCCAGAGCCTTTCAGCACAATCCCAGTATTCATGTGCCCACATATGTGTGCGCACGCATACACACAACCATGCAGAGACAGATAGGTAATGCCAGTCTCAGCAAACTACTCTGAACCTTACACCGATAGCATCAAAATCATGGAGACTTACCAGGATTCCTCCCAATCAGACACACCAGCAAGCTCATCACCACATATTCACACCCAGAAACACCCTCCATCTTTCTGAAACCACCTGTTATAGGTGGCAGAGTTAACCCTCTGCCTTCTCTCTCCTTTGATACCTGGAAAAACTGCCCACCCGCCCGCTCACCACCTCTACTCTCACTCTGTCTTGCATAGGCTCCACACAGACGGTCGGAGGCCATCCCAGCGGCCATGTGACCTCCCCGCTCCTTGCCACCCAGCCCCACCGTCACTCACAGGCAGCAGGACGGGCCCAGGATACCTTGTGTTCCCCCGTTTAACCCAGTTGCTAGGCACCATTGTGCTGATCCTGGGCACTGATTGGCTGCCCCTCCCCCTTCCAGAGGAGGCCTTTGGGAAACCGGGGTTCTCAGAAAGGGATATGACATTGCAACTAAAATAAATCCCCACCCACTCAGCCACCCACATAGGTTGACATGGTTCCTTTCTTGGATTTATGCTGGGCTACCCTGTCACGGCACAATTGCCCCTTGGCCACTTAGGGACCCAGAAGAGAGCTACCACCAAGCAGCACTTGGTCCACCATTCATACCTTGAACTTTGCTCCCCCCAGGGTCAGTTCCTATCCCAGTTCAGTGTATCCCTCTTTGACTTGTGCCCACCTGCCTACCCTGCACATCCCCTTCCCCGCTCCACCAAGATGGCGTGCCCTTTGTCTCTCTCAGACCCCTCCACACCCCACTCCTCAGCAACTGCAACTCTCATTTTCACCACATCGGTCTTTTTGTTTGGATGGTTGGCTTTGTTAAAGCTTGCTTTGTGGGTGAGGCAGGGGGGTGGGGGCCGTACTTTTATTTCTCTTCCAAGTCATGCCTCTTCCAGCTGTCAAGAATGTACTTGAGGAGGAGACCAAGCTTTCGGCGGGTCGAGAGCGGGGCTTCCTCGTCACTTCCCTCCCCGGATCCCCGATTTTCCACTCCATTGTCACTAGCTGCCTCCAAGCTGACCTCAGGCTGGGGCTCGTCCTCCTCCAGGGCCTTGATGCGGACCCGCTGGGCATCCTCGGCCATCTCGTTGAGACAGCCCTGGAGCATGGTGTAGACGGTGCCGAAGCTGATGCCACCAGCCACCAGTGTGCCAAACACAGGGATGCCCCTCTCAAAGGCCCGGGCCACCCGCATGGCGCCATCGGACGACTGTGAGTAGAGCCTCAGGACATTCTCAGGCGAAACCTCATTGGCCAGCGGGGAACGGATGACCGAGCGCAGGTCACCTGCCCGTTTGCCCACCTGCTCGGCCAGCTTAGCCAGTGAGTCGTCATCCAGGCCAAAGCAGCGATGGTAGCCACGCAGCGAGCGGAGGAGCAGGGCATCATCATAGGCGGCTGCCAGCCCGGGCACGGGCAGGGCCTGGACGATGCCTGACACCAGGGCCGTCTTGAGCACTTGCTCTTGGAGCATGTCCTTCTTCTTCTGCAGGACTTCCAGCGAGATATCGGGCAGTGACAGCAGGCCGGCATGGCGCCGGTGGGCGGGCAGGTCATGCTCCCAGGTGGCCATGAGCAGCGGAAAGTCATAGCGAGCCGGAGAGAGGTTGGACACAAGGAAGATGCGGGGGTCTGTCACCCCAACTGCACGTAGCCTCTCGGCACAGTGGTCCCGGATCTCCTGCAGGACGGTGGCCTCAGTGAAGCCCGAGGGCCGCTGGGTGCGCGTGGCCGCCAGGTCCTCGTCCAGCTTGGTGCGCACGAAGTAGAACTTCTTGCCCTGGCGCAGAATCTCGGAGGCCAGGCGGGTTTCCACGGCCCCGCAGCGGCGGGGCGACACCAGCAGGAAGAAGTCGTACCGGCCAAAGTCCACCTCCTTCAGGTACTTGTCAGCCGGGCATCCCGGACACCCGGCCCCTGGCAGGTCCCACAGGGTCACATCAGGAAACTGCGGGTGAGGATAGGACGAGGGGTGCATTGTGGTCTCAACGATGCCAGTGAGAGCCGCGCCCGGGTCCTCATCCCCCAGGCCACGAAGGGCATTGATGAGGGACGACTTGCCAGCGCCTGACTCGCCTGTGACCCCCACCTCCAGGTGGGTACTCTGTGAGGAGGCCAGCAGCTCCCGGAGGCGGGAGGCGGCCTGAGGGATGTCCCCCGACTCAAACGCGGTGCGCAGGGCCTCCAGCTCCTCTTTGGCCATGAGGATGGTGGTCTCCTCCTCCCCCCTCGACTTCGCAGTAGCCATGGTGACCAGCAGTCCAGAGGGCACTGGGGATGGGAGAGTCACAGGATGGACGCGTGGTCCTTCGTGTCTGGGGAAGGGGAAAGGGAGCCGGTCACGCCTCCTGGGCCTTGCATGGTGCAGGGAGAGACACACCAAGGATTGAAGGACGTCCCTCTGGAACCCCACAGCTCTCTCCTTCTCAAACACCCAGGGTACACTTTTGAAACGAGTTAGGAGGCTTTGGAGTCTGGCAGGCCCAGGTTCCCATTGTATCCCTGCCACTAACTTGCTGTGTGACCTGAGACAAAACAAGGTACCTCTCTGAGCCTGTTTGCATCTCTGAGTAATGGTCATCATGACTGACCTGCTTCCTGAGGCGCTGAGGAGTTTTCAGGATAATCTGGGAACAGGATGATTTTATGGGCAGCTTGTGACCCACGCAGTCACAGAGGGCCCTGCACTTAGAAGGCCCAGCTCTTG